TAAATATTTTTACAAAAATAAACAAATTTTTACGAAATAATAAAAATTTCTACAAAATTTTTATTTTTGTAGTTCTTTGTAGTTATTCATCAAAATTTTTTCCGCCAGGGTAGAATTAGTGTAAAATTCAAATGCAGGATAACGAGATATTCCCTCTTTCTTCGAGTAATAATAATTAATCGTCTTGATTTTATTAAGGAGTCTCATATATATGCTGTTCAATTTTTCTATTTTCAAGTAATTCTAATTTAATATTTAGTCTATCGTTTTCCTGAGAATACAATTTATGGAGCGTAATCCGTTGCGATGAGAAAAACTCCTCAACTATATTACAAGGTAAAAGTTTTTCTATTTTTTTAATGGATGTGTAGATTGATGATACTAGATAACGACGGTGTTTGAATGCATCATAAATTTCTAACTTTAATAATCTATTGGTGAAATTGTTTATGATTTTTTCCACTTGTTGTTTTGTTTTTAATTTAGTGACTCAGTAAACTGAATTTTATTATAAGACATACATAGGTTTGGATTTCATTTACAGCATTGACATTTTCATTTCAATTTGACACATCAGTTTTCTGATTAAATTATTAAGAATAAGGGAGCGGATCGAAAATGAAATTTATATTGCGATGATATGAGAAAAATCTGTACTGAAGAGGACTCAATCCAAAAGTCGAAACGTCTACTATACTTCAATAAAGGGATCATTTGCGCCACAAGAACTGCGTCGGCTCTTAAAGGCATTTTATTTTACCATTTTTATTTAATAAACTAGGTTGGCTAATTGGCAAACGGTCTTAGCTTTCAATCAATAATAAACTTTTAATGTACAAACGTATACTAAAGCCTATCTGTACCTATGACCTCGAATTATGGAAAACAGCTAGTACCTCAAACTTGGAAATAATTCAACGCTTTTATAATAAAGCCCTGCGCATCATATTCAATGCTCCATATATAGTTTGTACATAATAACAAAGTTATGAATATGCTCAAATATATAGGTTAAGGAATACTATTCGACAGTCTTAAGATACCGTGATACAGACTTGATAAACATGAAAATGTTCTTGCACAAAACCTACACGATGAATCGCAAACAATGAAATGACTTTTAAAAAAGCGCCTATATCAGATTTGTTTGATTTAAAATATTCACTTAAATTAGAAACTTTAAGAGAGGGGATAACCCTCAAAACTAGAATAGCATAATTTATCCGCTTATATATATGGTCCTATTTTGTCCGATCGCAAATTTTTTTTACAAAAAAATTTTTATCTTTCAAAAGTGGATATCAATAAAAACTAAATTTTTATTTACAAAAAATATTATGCTATTATGCTCAAAAGCGGTAATTTCGGTCATTGAGTTGTTTTTGCGCAATCCTAACATTATTAGCTAATTTTTAATTGAATTCAGATTCAGATTCAGCATGCAAAAATATATTGATCATGACTATTGTACTTTATTTACAAGAAATAGTGAACATTCGAAACATTCGAACAAAATACTGAAGAAAAACTTTTTATATTTGATGAAATTAAAGTCATTACTTGATATTTTACAAAATTGCCAGAAGGCATCGAAAACTTTAATCGAAATTTTAATTTTCTGTAATCAATTGTACAAGTTACAATTATTTAAATACAGGTGAATTGAATTAATATCCATATTATATATTATTATTTATATTATTGTAACGATGCCGCCATTATATGTCCTCGCATTGTCCCGTTAATACCCGAGAGCTCGGATGCCCGGCAACCACCGACCGGATGCCGCCCCGCCGAACAACCGCAGGGCGACGTAAGGCGCGATGCGCCATCTTTTTTAAACAGCGATACGAGGCCCAACGGCCTCGTACGCCGAACGCATACGAGAGCAGCCGAACCCGACCGGTCGGGGCCGTGCCAGCAAGGGGCCGCCAACCCCCGGGCAGCACGAAGGCCCGGACGGCGGACACGGCCGAAGCCGACCGACCTCCCCCGAAGTACTCATCCGCAGGGTAGCGAATGGGTATAAGAGGAAAGGCTCGGACGACAAACGTCAGTCCAGTCTCATTGTCAGCTGTTTCTCGTGTGGTTCCGCACGAGAAACTCTGTGATCAGACGTCCCCGTCGGTGGCCTGGAGGAGTGGTTGCGCTCACCCAAGCCGTGCCGCCCCGGACGGTGCGCCCGACGCCGTGCTCGCGAACTAACCGCCGGAGTACTGTCGTACCGACTAATGCCAGTACACACATAGCACGCGGAAATCTCTGTACTATCCATTCCGGCGCGATACGTTTACACTGTTAGTTCGCGATAATTAGCTACACATAAGACTTGTTACACATATTGAAAAACGCGTATTCCGTCCGAACTCCATTGTACATAAAAGCCAAATCAAATATCTAATAAATGTTGAGTTGTGTATCGTAAAACCGACTACTTCATTTCCGTTCCTCTCTCTCCGCGCGAACTACGTTTGGAGCCTGGCCCGTGACGAGCTAGTCCGCGCTCAAAACGGTCGGTTGTTTCATTATATATGTATACAGGATGTTTGAAATTTGTAATACCGATTATATAAGTACGAATGGACTAAACTGAATAGAAAAGTCGTGTATCATTTTGCGATTTTTATAACAAGTATTAATGATCGAGATATTAATTTATGAAAGTGTACTAATCGTGTGCGTTTGTACATATTCAGCAACAATAGAAATAGTCCAGTGTTTATGATTTCTTGACAAGCCGTTCGGCAGTGGATGAAGTATTCTAAAAAGCAATGGTTATTCACGCTATATTTTTGTTTCAACGTTCTTCTCAATACATCGTCATGCAGTTAGCAATTGTAAACACTGGATTGTCTCGAATCACGCGGACGCGCAATTTGTAATTTTATATAAATTAATATTTCAGTTATTATTCTGAAAATCCCAAAATGATGAAACAGAATTTTTTTTTAGTTTAGCCCTCTCTTACCAGCTTATCACATCTATAGTATCTGATACCCTGTATAATTTACAATTAATTTCTGTAATTTAATATAACTTACTTGTCGTCCACATAAGTTCTCAAAACGTGGTTTAATAAAACTCCATGCGCCCATGTTTCGTGGTTCTTCTTGGCTCCAAATAAAAGCTGAAAACCAATATTTAAAAATTTAGAAAACATGAAGTATACTTATTTCATATTATTTATATGTAACAACATGTAATATTTTTTAATATAATTTGATTTCTCAAATAATTACATTTTTCTACTTACTTTTCGCATGTTTATATTTTTCAATTTCTCCTAGTAACTCGTGAACAGGAAATGGACATAAATTTTCTATTCTAATGATAGCAACATTCATGTCTCCAGAAGTTTCTCGGTAATTGTTAAGTGCATAATAATGTTTTCCACTAACTAGAATGACTTTAGTTACATTACATTTTTCTACTTTATTATCTCCTGTAAAGTATAAAGTATATATGTATATATATATATATATA